AGGGTGAGCTACATAGCGAGTTCAAGGCCAACCTGAACTACATAGCAAGACCCTAGCTCAAAAAACAAGCAAACAAAAAAACTTGGGATACACTTGGAGATGGATGACTACATTTTGCATTGTGAGATGGTCTGGGGAGGAAGTCCCCCAAAGGCCCATATTCGAAAAGGTTTGTTCACCAGGCTGTGGTGCCACTGGGGGGTGTTTCTGTCCAGCAAGAAGCTCTGAGATGAGGGTGTCTCCTTTGGAAGGCCAAGTTTTAGAGTCCATTCTTCTTTGGGTGAAAATTAATGGATAGGATACATTTGTTAATGTGTGTACAGCATTATGTCTGGAAATTTTATATCATTTAGCCCAAGATGTCAAATTAAGTTTAAAAAGATTTATATCAATTCCAGCCAGGGCTGGAGATTTAGCTCAGTGGTTCCGGCACCTGCCTTGCAAGCGCAAGGTCCCGAGTTCGATCCCCAGTACCAAAACAAACAAACAAACAAACAAGAACAATATATCAACTCCAGCCAGATAAAGATGAAATATATTCAATGTACTATGTCCCACATCTCGGTTTCATGTGCTGCTGTAAAACAGAGATCCACAGTACCATCTTTGATGATAAATGACAGCCACTGACATCAAGAGAATCAGTTTAAATAAGAGGGCAACAGAGAGGAAAAAGTGCCCCCTGCTATGCTTCATGTCAAGCCAGAGAGCTGACTCCTCATACCCAATCCAACACACTGTGCTTGACATTCCCTGACTCATGCCACATGCTACATTTGGCATTTCCAATGAATTTTTAAAAAATGGAAACAACCTGGAGGAAGATTCCTGGCAGCCAGCATTTTTAAGTGAAATTATTCTTAATATGTAAAAATATTTATTGGTTTGCAAAAGTTAATATTCCCAACAACCTAACATGAAATTATGTATCTATTAGATAGGAAAAGAGCTAAGAATTTCATTCGTACAAGTGGTAAGTTGGCCCATTTGCGGAGCTAGTCAAGTAGCAGTTCTGGGATTCCAGCTATTTCCTGACTTTTTTCTAGTAAGCTACAATAGGTTCCCAAAGTTCCTTAAATGGCCTGTTTGTAGTGTGTTCTTTCTGAGTAATTTACTTCTCAAGTGAATTACCAATCGCTTCAGTCTTATCAGAAACCACAATAGCAGTGAGGGCACCAACCATACGCCAGACACTGTTCTGACCCATTGTGTAAATCAACAGTTTCCACTTTCATGGGTCTGGATCTGGAGAGAAAAGACTGATAATAAACAAGAAAATTATGATAACCTCCGCTAAGCAAAACCTATCAAGAAGAACAAGATAAGAAAGATGGGGGGAGCAGGGAGTGGGTAGGGTGTTGCAATATCGAAGCTGCTGGGGTGGGTCCTCCACATGACGCCGGAACTGAGACGCGAAGGCTGGGAATTAGGCAGTGTGAGCACTTAAAATAGGATTTGTTACTTTGGCCCTAAATATCATGTGCACAGTGCTTAAATCGGGCAATAAGCAATCATCAGGTTTTACTGAACCATCCAAGGCAACTTTGAACTTAGATGTGTAACACAGAAAATGTGTTTCACCTGTCAACGAATTCAGAATTGGGGCCAGGGATTTAGCTCAGTGGTTTGGGCGCCTGCCACGCAAGTGCAAGGTTCCGAGTTCAATCCCCGGTACCAAAAAAAAAAAAAAAAAACCCTTGATGAGAATTCAGAATCATTTTTTGCAAGATGTAGGAGCTTCATGTCTTGAAACAGAAACCATAATGATCTTCAATACGTTGCTGTGCTGAAAACAGAAGTGCCAGAACAGATAATCCCACACTGGTGAGTGTACGCAAGAATGACTTCACCCTTTTTAGTCACTGTTGAAAACCATGCACAGCTGCCAAGAGTATGGTGAAATGCGTTACGTGGCTGCTGGGGATTTAGCTCGGTGGGTTCACCACCTGCTGCACATGCGCAAGGACCGGAGTTCGATCCCCGGTACCAAAAAAAAAAGAACTGCGTTACATGGCTGCTTGAGGGTGAGCACTTCCTGCTACTTCACACTTGGAAAATAATCTGGCCATTTGTGCTTACAAAGTACCCAAGTGCCCACAACTACAAAAATAAAAGAAAGGAAAATATGAGAAATGGCCTATAATAAAGCTGACGTCATCAATTCAGAGCTGTGTGGCAAGGACCATGGTATTTGTTTTGTTTGCCATGCATTGACCTGAGTAAAACAAGCTTTGTGTCCTTGTCACCCTCAGGATAACACGCCATGGCTGAAGCTGACCACACCGTAGACCCTGCACCGTAATAATATCAACGTAAACAAAGGCACAAGGTAGGCAGTTGGGCAGCAAACATGAGCTAGGAAGAAATACTTGGCTACTTAGAACTGGACTGCAGACAACCAGGACTCAGTTAATGGAAAAACAGACTGGTTTCTAAAAACACTACATGGTTTCATACAGCTAAAAAGAAAAAGAATGAACGCGTGGGGCTTGTTCATAGCTGTCAAAAGTAAAAATATCAAAGAAACTTCAACTAGGAATGTTTTGTTAATATTTTTTATAGTGGGCTGGGGGTGTAGCTGAGCAGTAAAGAGCTTGCCTACCATATGTGAGGCCCTAGGTTCAAGCCTTAGCACAGAAAACTGCAGAGAAAAAGCTAGATGAAAACAATCATCAACCAATTTGTTTTCCAGAACATGAGTTTATTATTATAGCTGACTTGATGATGGATCCAAAGGCAAGCATTTAATCATACTGTACCTGTATTTAATAGTTAATGACACAAACACAACATGGGACTATATGACTAATATAGTACCATCAAGGAAACTGGAAGTAATTTCCAAGGGGCTACTGCAGTGCCAAGGAAACTGCAACACGTGAGCCTGGGGAACTATTCCCATTGATGATGGCTGTTCACTCACAGGCACTGAGTCCTCTGCCTAGTTGCCACCATATATTAGTTAACCATCATTTGTTTTATTTTTTTGAAATCCTAACCTCTGATTGCACAACAGTCTATAACCTTAAGAGATGCATGATGCTTTGCATTAAGAAAACAATTTAGCATTGGGAGGAAATGGGATAAAGCAGATGCCTGCTATTCACAAGGGGAATTCTTTCCCCAGCCTCCTCACATAGGGTTGAGGTTCTCACTGGGGCATACTCAATCTGGATGGTGGGTGAATGTTTCCTGATGGAGAGGACTGGCTTCAACTTTCACACTAAAGTACAGGGAGAGGGACCGAGTGATGTTTTATCCACAAGGGTACTTGTGACTACGAAATACAGAACCAAAAATAGATCGATCAGGACAGTACATATAAGTCAAGACTACCCTTGGCAAGTGTAGATGTTTAACCTACATCTATCTGAGGTCTATCCAGTATATGGAAGAAGCTAAGGACTCACTCATCTGTTTGTCATACCAGCCTCCAAGGGAAAGAATGACCTTGTTTGATACATCACTTAAACTGCATCCTCAGAAAGAAGCATCGGAAGAAGTCAGTTAATGTAATGTAGGACATGGAGCCTCGGGTGAATAGCACATTTCGTAAACTTTTTAGTCACGAGAACCCTTGCAATGGAGTGAAGGTACTAAGATAGGCTAGCGGGAACCTCTGTGTGGCACTGGAGACAGCCACCCTGACTTCTGCAAAGACCAGATCCCACAGCCAAGAAGCACCTGGCCTGGCTTTGCCTCTAAACTTAGCTGTTACTCAGTTTATGCATCTGAAAAAATCAGTGGGCTGGCCTACAATGGTAAGGAATATCCTATCGAAGGGAAAAATTTTCCCACTTGGATATCCTGGGCTCTAAAGTAAGCAAAGGCTTCCTGGAAAAGACAGAGCCTCTAAATTCAAACCTCTGCTTCAGCCTTGGCCTGCAGACTTTGGCATGGGGACTGTTGTAGATTTGTAGGGAGGGCAAGATCTGCCCTCTATGTTTGTGTTTATTTATTTAGTTTTTTTGTGACAGGGTCTCACTATGTAGTCCAGGCTGGCCTTGAACTTGCTGCACTGAAATATTAACTTCCTTTCAGCTTTATTAGGGAATAGCACCCTGGTATTTTTGTATGGACAGGTATCCATTCCAATATTTTAGTTGAAATTCCTTCCGAGCTTCCCATTTTCTGGAACATTACATGGTGCCTGGGCTTCTTCCTTTCCTCAGTCCTGACTTAACTTTCCCAGTGAATATACTGGGCACGTTCTGATTGTTGGGGGAGTCCTAGCACGGATCTTCTATGACTCCACTTCCTTCGTGGTGACTGTTCCTTAGAGCTATTGAGACAGACACCACCTTTGGGGAATGTAAGTGCAAAGAGCCCAGGGTTAGAGATGAATTACAGGGCATTTGGAAGGAGTTTCTACCCATCTCTTGGTAGTTCAGCCTCTCATACAACTTGCATCCCCGCATCCCACACACATCCTGGTTCTGACTGACGAAAGCTCTCTCCTAGGGTCAGAAGACACTTGTGCTGACCAGGAGAAGAGCTATTTGCGGCTCTGGGAGACAAAGTAGTGGAGAGGTGGTATGGCTGGGATTTGCAGGAAAGCTGGGGGCAGAGAGCAAACTTCAGAATGCAGAATTATACAAGGAGCTCATTAAAAATCAGATGCCCACATTATGATTCAGAGTCAGCTAAATCTGGGACAAGGCCTTGACATGTGCATGTGATTGGCAAATCCCTACCCCATCTCTTGACTGTGAAGCAAGCAGTCTTCCAAAGTCAGCTTTGTGGAACATGTAAAGCGATGATGCCACAGCAACTTATCTGCAGAGAAAATCAAGCACACAGCAGGAACAGACCAGGCACACTGCCAACTGTGACATTCACCCTCAGACAGCTACTCTTGGTCAGAGAAGAGTGTGTGAACATGTGTGCACTGAAAATTAGGGGCATTCACCGCGAACAGCCAGCCCACACAAAGCTTTCTGCTCCAGCGTCCACACCTCTGCAAGCTCACACCAAATAAAGGCAACATTTCTGACTCAGGGTTGATTTTTACAGTAAGCAATTATTTTATTTCCTTGGCCTGATAAGATTGACTTCATTATACAAGAACCTGAAGCTGACAGGACAGACACGTGGATTTCCCCCACAGGAAGGATCCTTTTTATTAGCAGAGATGAAATGTCACGTCTGAGTGCAGTTTCTGCTCCCCACCCCACTCCTCAGCCTCCAAAACAAAAAGAAACCAATAAAACCCCCGTGAACTACTCAGTCATCCCTCTAAACATTTCTAATTAGCAGCTGCCGTGGATCAAAACCAGAGGAGGGAAGCAGCTGGCCATTGCTTAGCATCCTGTGCACATGAGACTGAGGGACGACAGCCAGGAAGCCAGAATCCTGGATGCATGGCAAGTATACATAATCTACCTCACCTCATTCCTGCCCCTTCCACGACACCTCTGTCCCTGTACAACGAAACTGCTAAAGGCAACACGAAAGGAGTGGCTTTAGCCTGCAACTGAAAGTGCCCAAGGTTCAAGAAACTCCAAAGTAGGTTTGGGAGAGGGGGCACCAGAGAGAGAGCAGGTTAAGACAGAAGCACAACGCTCAGTCAGTTCCAGTTTAAGGCAATCAGAACTAATCCGAATCAGAATCACCTTCCATCGGACTGCTGTTTTCCAAAGTTAAAACAGCTGTCTAAATGTCTGTTTGGATATCTACCACCGCCTCCGGCGTAGGAGGGTGACATTCACATATGAGAAGAGACTAGCGGGGGATGGAGGAAGTGGAGAAATGGGAGATCAAAGGCTACAATGCTTCAGTTACTGTTGGGTGTCTTTTGGTCCCCGGGTACGGTCCACTACAATTCCTAAGGAATTCCTGTTCCCTTTCCTACGTATCTTGTACGAATGTCAAAACTCAAATCTCTGCCCAAAGAGATGGGAATTGCTGCTGGATTGCATTCACCCCTGGCTTTAACCTGCCCACCTTCCGACCTCCTATGAAATGACAAAAAACCTTAATTCTTGGCAATGCCATGACCTTAAGGCACCCTCATCGCTCTATCAAAGCCAATCCAGCAGTTCTGTCCTAACATGCTTTCTCCCTGGGCCGAGGAAGCAGCAAAAAAAACATCAACTGAGCATGTGAAAATGTGACGACAGTGTGTGCAGCGTGGTTTCCAGGGTCTTCGCCTCTGTCTTCTCCATGGTGGGAGCCCTCCCTCTCCTCCCTCCAGTCCCACTCACATCCCTCCCCTCCCAACAAGTCCAGGTGCTCCCATCTGCTGGGCTTCCACCACTCACTTTCCATAGACACTCTCGTCACTGTAGGCCACGTACAGAAAACAGTCTTCCTCGTGGTTGTCCTGGAAGGAGAGATGTGATGACAGTTCAGGAAACACTCGCATTCATCATCTCTGGACCCAAGCCCTATGACACCGAATAAAGAGGTTTGGAAGTTACTAGTAGCCTCCACTGAAAAAACAGGGCTCGGCTGTAGGGAAGGAGTAGAGCACTTCCTTAGCAAGCGCAAGGCCTTGAGTTTGATCCCCAGCACTGATAAAAATAAAAGACAGGTAAATAGGCAAAGTGGCTGAAATTGAGCTCTGGCTTCACAAAAAGCCTCCAGAGGGCCGGAGATTTAGCTCAGTGGTGCTGCAAGCGCAAGGTCCTGAGCTCGATCCCCAGTACCAAAAAAAATCATCCACAGAGAACACAATACACACAGGTATCAAGAATACAAAGAAGACTGGGGTCCAGTCCTTACTCTTAGAAGCCCATTCCAGCAACAACACAGATACTATGAGACACGTATACCAGAATATACACTAACAGAAGGTATGCTATGGAAAAAGGTTAGATTGGGTGTTACTAGATGTTTATGTCATTCTCTAATGGGGGACAATGAAAAAGCAGACTTATATGAAGGGGCTAGCTTATTCATGTTTGCTCAATCTGTTGCTATATGGGAATATAATGAACTGGGGCTGAAATACATAATTTAGTCACAACTATACATGTTACTGACAACAGTAATAGGAACAGTAAAAGCTGCTTTGCAACATTTTACTATCAGGGAGCATTTCCTGCTGCTTTAATAAAGGCGACCCAGCATTAAAACACTAGTCAGGCAAGACTGAGAAGAGATTTCCAAAGGATCGAATTAAGTAGAGCACGCTATCTCACAGGACAAGAGGCGTCTTGTCTCCCACAGCTCTGCACTGCCATGTGTAAGAGGATCCTGAGAAATAACACCACCTGCCCCACTTCCAGCGGTGTTACCAACATACACTGGAACAGAAGCGGGAGGATGCCACATTGCTCAGCACTGTGACAGGGCCATTACCTCATACAGCTGGCCCATGGTAGCACTAGTGGGAGGGATGGTACTGTTGACAAAGAAGAATAAGGCGTCCTCAGGTCTCAGGTGGATTCTCTTCCGGATTAAGAAGTAGAACTGGCCAACTGGATGAGCAAAAGGAAAAGGAAAGGGGCAAGGAGAGAAAAAAACAGAGGATGAGTACTAGCTTTACGTACCATTGGAGCAGGGCCAAAGACTGACCAGGAGCTCTGGTAATAAACACTAAAACTCAAAGAGGCCTGTGTAATTAATCTCTGACACACCACAGGGCACCCTCTTCCATAGTCAGTGTCAGACCTAACGTTAGCACACCCACTCACGCGTCTGAGGATCACATGGAGGGAGCACGTGCAGCCTGACATTCCCATCCTTGTTTAAAACTGACTTGAAATACTTCCTACCCGACTTTCATCCTAAGACAAACGAATGGGGGAAGAGGTCACTGGACTCCAGTAACATCAGCATCCAACCCCGTGTCAAGGCAACGAGAGGGTTCAATGTCTAACCTTCTCCTGGGAATACGGAAAAACTTCCAGAAAGCAGACAATCCACCGTATTAATTCTGGAGCAAATTTATCTACAAAGTATCTCCAGGGTATCCTGGATACACTGGAAATTCCATTGAGAATCAAGGTAGAGGGCCAGGGATTTAGCTCAGTGGTGCTACTGCCTGCCTTGCAAGCGCAAGTTCCCAAGTTCGTTCCCCGGTACCACAAAAAAAAAAAAAAAAAAAAAAAAAATCAAGGTAGAGACTGAACATGTTCTTATAATTCCAAAAGAAATCTATAAAACATGATTACAAAAGAATTTCCAAAATGCAATCCTCCCGAGAGTGGGCTGGCTTTGTTTAGGAACAATTTACCAACACAGTAACAAGGTTGAATTTTAAAAGTGGTTTAAAAATTAATTTCTCATCTTTAAACATCTTTTGTTTTGCTATATCTAAATCAAGTAAGACACAGTGGCGGAAAATGGTACAGGGAACTGGTGATGAGAGAACTACTGGGTCATTTTTTATTGCGTTCTCTGCAAATCTCCCTCATGTTCACCAGCTCTCAGGCATGTTAGTTACTGAGAGTGTGCTGTCCTGGAATGACGGTCCCCGGAGGGGAAGAACGTTACCAGTGAGGTCGGAGGGCACTAGGTACTTCCTCTTGTCCAGATCAGGCACCCTGGCCTTAGGAGCCTTTTCCACGATGACCTGGAAGAACGTAGGAGAGTGGGAATGAAAACCACAGACAGACACCGTTTCCTCTCACACCTGACTTACAGTTACCCACAGGAAGTGAGACTGTCTAGGCCCAATACAACTTTCAGCCCCTCACATCACGCATCCCTCTTACCTGATTTTACTATGAGGTACACTACAGGACATTTACTTTCTGGTATATCAAAACTTTCTGGTTTTTCTTAGGTGGTTCTATCACCTATTAGTTTTATTCTGTCTTTAAAATGCCATTTGGGCCGGGGATTTAGCACAGTGGTTTCGCCACCTGCTACTCAAGCGCAAAGACCCAAGTTCTATCTCCGGTACCAAAAATACAATACAATACAATACAATACAATACAATACAATACAATACAATACAATGCCATTTATAGCTGGGCATGGTGGCACACACCTGTGATCCCGGGGCACTCAAGAGGCTAAGGCAAGGGGATTGCCCTGAGTTCGAGGCCAGCCTGAACTGCACAGCGAAACCCTGCCTTAGAAAAACCAAAAAAACCAAAAAACCCACAAAACACAACACTAAATACATAAAATTCATTTATAAAAGATACAGTGCTATACTGTGCACCTCAAACATCCCCCGAGGCCCACGTGTTAAATGACTGGTCCCCAGCTAGGTGATACTGGGAGGTGGTGGAAATCTGAAGCGCTGAGGCCTCCTAGGAGGTGGGGACATATCCTTGAAGGACACTGTGGGACCCTGTCTCTCGCTCTTGCTCTTTCACTTCCACAGGAGGTGAGAGCTTTCTCTCCACCATGACGTGCTCTTGAAAAACACTGGAAACATGCCGGGGATTTAGCCCAGTGGTTCCGTCGCCTGCCTCACAAGAGCAAGGACCCAAGTTCGATTCCCGGTACCAAAAAAAAAAAAAAAAAGCAGTGAAAAACACTGGAAACAGAGCTAACTTATGGAGCTACCTTATCGTGGGATGAAACCATGAGCCAAAATAAACCTTCTCTCTCTATAAACTGATTTTCTCAAGAGTTTGTTACACTAATGGAAAGCTGACAACAGAACAGTAATAAGGTTTAAATTTAATCATTTTGTCAAAATTTTCAAGAATGACTATAGAACAATTCAAGATACTATTAAGAGAAAAGTATAAAGTTTTTATAACAAATGAAACTGTAGTGTGATGGCAGTACATTAAAACTATCAATGTTGGTTATATTAGGATTAAAAGTGCACAATAAATACTTCTATAATACCTCAAATTTTATAAAGAGCACATATTTCTGTAACAAAGAGAAAACATGGATACATATATAACTTAGAATATGTCTACAGGCCTAAATACACAAAAATTAACTCATAAAACAGTGAACTGCAGTTTTTAGTTTAAAAAATATAATTATTCTAAATATAAGATATGGGAAGTATCAAAAAATTAAATGAAGCAGGAACAACAGACAAATGTCCCTACTAGCTGTGCGATCTTCGATAGATTGCTTAACCTGAGCTACAGCACTCCAACAAGTACAGATCATTTTCAAACATACCTTTTATAAGTTCAGGATACTGATATTATGTAAGATAATATTTCACATTAAATGCTTTGTAAATTATAAGAATTCTCTAAACATAAACATTAATTTGAAGGGAGGGAGTGGAAGCTTTTAAATTAAAGATTGGGGGCTTTGCTCATGCTCAGCATGCAAGCAGCCCTGGGTTCAAAGTGCGACAGTAAAGTATTTCTAAATAAATCAAAATAAAAGCTGGTATAGACAGAGGTGAGCCATTAGTTAAAAAGAACAGGTAGAAGAGTTTCAGAGGGAGTCCAGCGAAGGCCCCCAAATGAGGATGGGCAGGAGACTGCAGTGTTCTTCTACAACTCGAAGGGAACAGACAGCCTGGCACTAAACCTCAGGCACAAGGCCTGGCAGCCCCTGTGGAGAAGTGATGGAAACCAGAGGAAGGAGGAGCCAGACGGCCAGAAAACAGACCGCAATGACAACTGGGAGGGATGTGGGGAAGAACAGGAAGAGGAAGGGTGATTTTTTAAGGCCCTGGTTGACCAGGAAACATCTAGGTTTCTAGCAAACCCTCCCAACAAACCCTGAACTAGATGCTTGGGGTCTCAGTTTTCCTGTGTGAAATGTGCCTAACACTCAGCAGGACTATTTATTTATTTTTTTTTAATTAGACAATCCAGGCCCAGCATGCTGGTGCACACCTCTAATTCCAGCACTCAGGAGGCTGAGGCCAGCCAGAGTTGGAGGCCAATCTGGACAGACTACATAGCAAGACCCTGTCTCAAAGAACAATACAGAAGACTGAGGATTCAGCCTAAGGACACAGGGAATTCCTTCTATAGCACAGAATAAAAGCCTAATCTCTTGGACTAGGAGTGCAGCTCAGAGGTAAAGTGCAAAGTTTCCTAGGTTGCAGGTCCTGGGTTCAAATCCGTCAATAAAACAATCTCTGCACTCATCAGAGCCCTTCCAACTTACACAGGATCACTGTAGGAGGCTCAGTACTAATTAAAACATAACTGAGGGCCAAGGATTTAGCTCAGTGGTTCCAGTGCCTGCTTAATAAACGCAAGGTCCCGAGTTCAATCCCCAGTAACAACAAAAAACACATCATAACTGAAGGAGCCAGCGATCTGAGTTATGGACTTCATGGCTTATGTAAATTATAATAGCAGTAAAATAACACCAAACTATGAACAGGAAATCAGGAGAGTTAGCAAAAATATTCTGGGCCAATGCAAGTAAATGATGGAAATAGGAAAGGTTGCGTTTTGAAGAAACATATGGGCATTTTAATTTGGAACAGGTACACACTAGATTTCATGATTTATGCAGAGCTACTAGAACAGAACCTGTCCTTGTTGAAGTCTGAATAAAAAGTAATTCTGCTAAAGTTACCTTGCTGGAACCGGGCTATTCTGTGAACTCCTCAGGGTGGCAATAGTTTATTTTCAGTACTCAAGAGGGTAACATACACTGCACATTATTGATTCTGGCTAATAAAAGTGTAAATTCAAAAATGATATGGCATAGAGATCAGGGGCTCTCAAAGCTCTACCATGTGACAGCCAGGATTGGAATCCCAGCTCTGTCACAGGCCAGCCATGTCGCAGTTGTGGGACGTTACTTCACCCCTCTGTAACTCAGAGTCTTTATCCATACACGGGGGATTAGTGGTGTGAGGACTGCATCACCAAGGACTCAGAATACTGCCAGGGTATGTGGTAAGACGTCTACAGAATTAGCTGTCATTTTTAAATATTATTAAAGATGGGGACCAGTGTCACCAGAATTGAGAGAAACTTTTCAACCTGACACCTAGGGTCCGGGGATCAAATATGGGGTAAAAGCTTCATTCACTTTGGCAGAAAACGCTTGTGTGTGTAATACCTGGGGACCCCCAATCCTAGACATTACGAAAGAAGGAGTTTCTACTGGTGGGCTTCTGGAAGCCACAAGACCATGAAAGTTAGGCATGGATGGGAGAAGAATCCCAAACAGTGCCTATGAGTCAAGAAAAAACATCATACTATTCCATTTTTTAAAAATTACCACCTGAACATAAAAACACAACCCTACCCCCCCCCCCCCGCCCCAGCCTCCCACATTGAAATCCAACAGATGCTGTTCCCTCTACCACTTAAAATCTGCCTTTCAATGTAGCTGCACAGCCCACGGGAGAGAAAATCCAGGCAGGTGGGCGGGGGACGGGGAAGAGGGAAAAACACCCGGATGCTGACAGTCACGTTCGTATTTCTCCCTTCTTCCTCACTGCCTGCTCTAGTTTAAAGCACTTAAACTGGGGTTCACATCACAGAAGGCCTCCGTCCGGTCTCAGCGGGCCCAGGTACCGTCGGATCCGAACCAGTACCCAGAGAAGGCCTGGGTCCCCACCTGGCCCTGGAGCCAGGGCGACGGGCCAGCTGCAGGGCCAGAACGTGACCTTGCGCCCGGGCCAGTGTAGGGGCCTCCCCCGCACACGCAGCCCTCCTAATTCCAGGAGAAACCGGGCTTCTGGATCTTTGGCTCTCAAGCCTGATGACATGAGGACCAAGGCGACCTCGGTTCCAAGAAACCCACTTGGGCAGGAATCGATGGGAACAAAGTGCAGCACGGGCCGCTGCCGTGGCCTCCCCGCGCTCCCACGGGCAGCAGATCCGCGGCCCACACGGGTCAGGGGGGGACCGAGGGCCCCGCGGGGCGCACGCAGCCACGCAGCGAGTCCTGCTGAGTCACTGCGCTCGCGGGCTCCGCGCCAGCGCCCGGCCAGGCCTGGCTGCGGGTCAGGGAGGCGGCAGCCCCGGTCGGCCGGCCCCTCCTGCGCCCAGGGCGGCCTCCGCCTCCTGCCCCTCCCGGCACGCTCACCGGGACCCGGTCCGGGTACTTCTTCCGGATCTTCTCCCCTTCCTTTTTCCGATACTCGAAGGGGTGGTCCTCCTTGTACTGGAACTTCATGGTGGGCTGCGGGGTCGCTCCCCAGGTCCCGCGCGGGGCCGCCTCCCTCGCCGAAGACTGCGTCGGGCTGGCTTGGCCGACGTGGGAATTCCCAGAGTCTCTCCAGAACCGGCAGCTCCCGCGGCCACAGCGCCCGGCCCATCCGAGCTCCGAGGAGAGCGCCCGGCCTGCAGGTGGGGACGGCCGGGTGCACAAGCCGCCGCCGCGCTCCCTGAGCCTAGCACAAAAACACGGGGGCGGGGCGGGTGTGACGTCACGGACACGCCCACTCCCCGCCCTCGGCGCGGGCTCCGGGACGGAGGGAGGGACAGAGGGACGGAGGGAGGAACGCGAGCGGGGCCCGACCCTCCCCGGTGGTTCCCACTGCACGTGAAACTCTCCGCTATCGCTTCTGTCCCGCTTATTGTCCTAGTGGGATTGTCACATTGATAGCCGTTTAGAGTCCTGACCAAGGTTCTAAAGATGTTTTCTTCCCTCTCTTTTGCATTTCTTGGTTGGGTCCCCAAACACACACAGGGAAGAGCTCGTCTTTCCCAGCCCGTCGGGATCCAGTCCAGGGGGAAAAATAAGGGCGGGGACTCTCGGGATTCCTCGGGCCCAGCAGAACTCCTGCTGCTCGAGTTTGGATCTCCGCTCTTGGACGGCGCCACCCAACACCTCTGGCTGGCCTGGCGGCCTGTACCGACTCCTCCCTCCTCTCCTGCCTCCTGTCCGGTCCCTGCTGCAATTCCTTCTTGGGAGGGCGACCCAAACAGCCTGACTCAGGCGTTCGGAGGTGAAGGGCTCCAAGTGCAGCCAAGGTTCTGAGAAGCGACGACTGCTCAGGGCTTCATTCTCAAACACACAATATTCACTTTCTCCTGTTCACCCAGAAGTTAGGCCTGCCTTCCGCAGAGAAAAACGCCAAGCGTTTAGGTGATTAACTCTGGTTCTCAAAACAATTTTTTTGAACTAGGGCAAAAATTCACCTAGAGGGTAGATGTACTGATTACAGAAAGCGCCGACAGGAGGGATGACTGAGGCCGACCTCGAGTGCCCCTGTTACCGGAGTCAAAATCGAAGGACAAGGCCTTTCCAGCCAGTTCTGTTGGCCGCGATTCCTGGGGTCTGTCCAGGGAGGGCATCAGAAATGGAAGAAGAGAGGGGTAGGGCTGCTTGGCCCTGTGCAAATTGCACATGAGTTTTAAAAACACTGGACTAGAAGCCATAAAAAGTGTGGGACTGTATGATTCAAAATTCAATTATTCCCCTAGTCTCTCTTGTGTTTAAAATTTAATGGTTAGAATGTGCTTGTTAGTCTTGAGACAGTAGATAAAATCTGTAACAAAGCAAAGTTCCTAAGTAAATCATTCAACCCCTTGTTTGTCCGGAGAACGAAAATTCCCGGACCCACTATCGGTAGAACAATCCATCACTGTGTCTGCTGATCATCAGTATGTGACGGTCGTGACCATATGGTCGTGACCATTACTGTGTGTCTGCTGACCGTTAGTACGTGACAGTCGACCACCAACCTTTGTTCCTTTTTT